TTAATCTTTCCCTGTTTGCTGTAGAGGATGTTGATCAGGTGATTCCGCAGTTTCTTTGAGAGCGTGTGGCACAAGCTGTCAGCATAGTCTGTGTGGTATGTAGATTGTTACCAGCAGGACAGTGGGGTGGGAGGAGGTATTGTTTCATATTCTCTGTGTATATATAAAGTCTGCTGCAGTTTCCACGGTATGCATCCGATGAAGTGAGCTGTAGCTCACGAAAGCTCATGCTCAAATAAATTGGTTAGTCTCTAAGGTGCCACAAGTACTCCTTTTCTTAATGGAAATTCACACACCCTGGTCTGCCTTTAGTCAACAAAGGAAAAGTCCATGTTCTGAATGCAAACACTTGCCAGATGGCTTTCTGCGGAAAGGAGCTATAAGAATGGATCCAGGGAACAATCCTGTATCTCTGTGCAATTTGGACACTCATAGAGAACATTCCAGATGCAAGACAGAGATCCCCAAAGTTATTTTGGGTAACCCTGAGAGACTTATGGAAAACTAGCATATTACTACATTTCTACTATCATTTTGGACTTACAAACTTAGACTCACCTGTTAATGTATTTTACTGGCTTTAAGCTTTTAATAACGCTCATTTCTTTTTTTTAGCTAATAAACCTTTAGTTAGTTTACTAAAGAATTGGCTGCCAGAGTTGTCTTTGGTAAGATCCAGAGTACTAATTGACCTGGGGTAAATAACTGACCTATTGGGGTTGGGAGTAACCTAAAATGGTATGATTTTTGGTTTATCACTAAGTCCAGTTGTCTGAATGGCAAGGGGGGCCGGAGAGTCTAAGGGACTGTCTGTGACTCCATGGGAAGACTAATATAATGATCCAGGAGTTCAAACTTGTTACTGGCTTGGTGAAATCTAATTATAGAATATACCACCAGTTTGGGATGTCTGCCTTCTTTTCTGACAGTCTGATCTGAGATTGGCACTCATAGTTGTGAGCCACTTCAGAGAGTGTCACAGTAAGTCTCCAGAATTTTTTTCTCAGTTTCATAAAATGAACTGAAGGTTTTGATTAATTCAAAAGCAACTACTACAGCATATATTTAACATTATATTGCCAGTTCCCAGTTATAAACCCCTTTCCCATTCACCCCAGTATCCTATAAATACATCTACATAAATCTTTCGTCCTGTAAGAGTATATGAAGTCTTCAATTATAGGAGTGATTTTCACCCTCTACCTCTGAAAATTTCTACAGAGGAAATGAAGCCTTGGTGTGGTTTGTTATACTGTAAATTTTGCTGTCTTCTAGGTCTGTTTTCTTGAGCCTGATTCTGCAATGTGTGCAAATTTCTATTATGTTACATGCGGGAACTTCTTCCTGCATGGTCAGGCCCCACAGCAGTTACATCCCACTGGAAAAATGGAAGTGTCAACTAGAAGAGAAATACATGTGAACATGAAATAAAGTTTTCTCTGCAGCTGTCCTATAGGCATTGAACTTGCTTCTGGGAGAGAACAGGATGACAATGAACCTTGCAGAAATGAAAAACTAATGTCTTTGCGGTAGCATTCTTTCAATAATCATACAGTAAAAAGAAAACACACAGCCTCCCCCCCCGCTCCGAAAAAAACCCTCTGTCCCTACAAGATGAGGTGAGGTGGGAAGGAGAGAGAGATAATTCATTCACTTTGATAAATTTCTGGTGTGCTGAGGTAGCAGAATGATGGGCACAATATCAAAACCTAGAGTGGCGGACCCTGTTCTTACTACCTAGTATATAATTGCTTTTTTTGGGAATTCAGCAGAGGTTAGTCAGTGGACTCATCAAATTAATTATAAAATTCCATGTAAAATAATGTTGCCCCTTTGTTGAGCCATAGCTGATTTCTGGGCCTTACAGGTCAGCTTCCCATTGGAGCAGAAATTGGTGACCAAGATTTGGGATTTATTCTGAGTATAATTTGTTTGGACATAGAGTGAACAGTTTCCTTGAACAGGGGAGGCCACAAACAACATACAGGCAATCCACTACTACAGAAACCTCAACTAAGACATCATTGACCCTTGACCCAAGAAGCAGCTCTCTTGGACACTCCTGGAATTTCAGTGCTTAAATATACTGTTCCCTTCTCTACAGCTGGGCTTCTCACTGGGGGAGCCCCTTGCCCCAAAGCAGTTCATTTAAACACCACATGACTTCCAGAAGAGTGAGTCTTGACATCAACTTCTAGCCTTTGTCGTGTAAAGAAAAGGAATCTCAGAAAAGGTTGACTGCCCAGATGAAGGATGCCTTAACCCACTCTGGGTACAGTGACAATATCCTGAGTGTCTATAGATCTCAAATCAGAACATGCATGACATTAACATGTCTTTTTTTATCCTAGTTATCCTTAGGATTGTAAAGTGAAACACCCAGAAGTCGGGAAATGATAAGGTGAAGATTCTCTGCACAACCTTAACTCTGCCCTCTTGTGCACATGGATTATGATACAGTTTTAAATTCATTATCACATTATTTTTTCAGCTGGGCCCCTGAGATGTTCAGAGCTCAAGATGAATGATACTCAGCAAATGAAGCAGCACTTCAATAGTTTGTTTTCTCCTTATTGTTTAGTGGCCCCAGGCTTCACTTATTGCACATCATAAAATTAGCTTGGCCACATGGGAGCAGGGTTTATGTGGCATGGGAAATGAAAACTGACTGCTTCTCTGTTTTGCATTTACATTTTTATTAAAATGTGATATCAATTGATTTTAACCCATTTTGATATACAAAAAAATTAGAAACAAACTTAAAAAAATCACCTGTCATACAACAGCAGAAAAAAAAGTTGAATTAAAAACAAAATATTGAAAGCAGTTTGTCAAATGAACAGATTTTGCTTGCTGTTAACAATATTTGAAAGAAAACAAGAACATAGTGAACTTGGACTTGTAGCTGCTTTGAATACTCATTATTATTAGCAGTGATCCATGTTACAACATTACCTATGCTTAGTTAGGAGTATACCTGAGTCAAGCTGTCACAGAAACTGTTTTTAGTGCTCTTCCATGACCTCTGCATTTTAAACAATTTTACTGTGATTTTCTCCTTTGTATTTTTACATTTGGTTCAAATCATTTTTCTGTGGGTTGAAGAAGGATTCAAGGCTATTAGATTAAGGGGGACCATGTCCTGTTTGGCATGTTGTGGACAGTTTGACCATCCTGTAGAGGAGAGATTGAGCAATCAGGAAGGGAATCTGGTTGGGTGGAGGAAAGGGTATTGTAATATTTGTGACTCCTTCATGACTTTTGCCTTTGTCCTTTGACTAAACTGTGGCTTCTGAGACCTGTCAGACCCTTTTCATAGTACATATAGGACTTGTCTAGACTAGGATTTGGAAGGTGTTAGTTTACACTTGTTAGCCTACTGTAGACAAGATAGTGTATCTTTAACACTGTTTAGCTCAGCTGAGCGGGGGTTTCCTATTTCTGCATGAAATGGTGTGTTGTCAAGGCAGAGTACTCTTCCCACCTCTCCAGGGTCTCAGGGTGGGCTAAAGGCAGGTGGCTCTGTCTTCCCCTCTCCCTAGCTTGGAGGTTTGTTCTCTGGGTGTGTGGTGATGGAAGTGCTCTTGACAAAATACAACAGTATTTTATAGCAGGGGTTTCCAAACTGTGGGATGTTTACCGCCACTGGTGGTACATAAGCTTGTTGTTCTACCATTTAACTTGACAATTTTTTTTATGGTGGAGGTACATGAACTAATTAAGTTTGGGAGTTGCTGTTCCATAATAATCATACTAATACTGCAGTAGCATTCTTGAAAGATGTAGTGTTTTGGATTACTGCTGTAAAATACTATACTAAATACTGTAAAATACTACTAAAATACTATTTAATAAGGGTGCTTTTCCTTCCTTCCCTGGCCCAGAGATTGGATTGGCCTGGCAGGGGATTCCTCCTGAGTCTCCTGTAGCTGCTCCTGTGTTAAGGAGGGATTGTGGTGCTCTCATGCCAAATCCTGGGTTGAGTTCCTTGGGTTGGTGGCTCTCTTTTCCCACCCTACTCACTAAGTCTAAGCACTTGGTGTAGGTTTTTTTTTTCTTCTTTTGCCCTTAGATGATTTCTAGGCTCTCTCTTGGTCCCGCCTGACTCCACTGCCTGGCTCTGATATATAACAAAATACATCATGGGCCAAATTCAAATCTAGTGTAAATGGCTCCAATACTTTTTAAGAGAAAGGAGTTGCACTCACTTACCTCAAGTCTGTGTTGAGTACCAGGTACTTTTAAAGGTTAGATTAATGTGAATTTAACCTTTGGGCCATATTCAACCCATATAAATCCACGGAAGTCAAGACATAAGCCAGGGATGTATTTTGGCGCAATAATAATGTTATATATTAGTGCTCATGTCATTTTTAAAACACCTAACTGGTTGGTGATTTGCAATCTTGGGGTTGGTTAGCTGTGGTAAGGGAAGACGTTTATTGTATGGTGTCCTTTTCCTTCCCCTCTCCTGTGCCCGGAGATCCACTCCAGGTTTTCTTTCCCGCTCCGCTTCTGTATTTCGGCTATGCAATGTGTAGCACGTTTTTCTCTCGCTATCTCTCTCTCTCTGGGTGTCTCTTTCCCTCAGTCACTGTGTCTGTCTCCAGGATTTCTCCCTTCCTACTTGAGGAGGCTGCTCCTGCAGGCTCCGTCCGCGTGTGTGAAGCAGAGGTTCCCCTGGATCCCGTACATGCACTCTGACCCACCCACCCACCCACCCACAGAGTAACACCACCAGAGGCGCGCGCAGACACACACACACACACACACACTTGTGCATGCTCCACTCCATCCCCACACGCGCAGACAGGGAGTGAGGGCTCGCCAGCCTCACACAGGCAGGCACCGCTCAGTGGCTCCAGGATTTTGCTGCCCCTGGCTCGGGACTCCGATCCGCAGCAGCCAGCCAGACCTGTGTGTGCAGAGGGGGGTTGTTCGAACTGGGAAAGAAGAAGCAGGCGGGGGGGGGGGGGGGCGGCCGCTGCTGTTCCTGGCACCGCTCGTGTGTGTGCACATCTCCCCTTCGGCTCATAAAAGTTTGCCTCAGCAAGCCGGGGGGGTTCCTCGCTCCGCCTCAGCTGGGGGACCCCGTCTGCCCCTCACCCTGGAGGCACCTCGGCTCTGTTCGCAGCGGGTGAAGGTGGGATCGTTCCCCAGGATTTATTGAGCTGGATTTGCATTTTGCACCATGTCTTCGTGGATCGCGGCTCCGCTGGTGGCTTTCACCGGGCTGCTGCTGTCACTTTCGGCCGGGGCTGATGTGAAGGCTCGGAGCTGCAGTGAGGTGCGGCAGGCGTACAGTGCCAAAGGCTTCAGCCTGGTCAATATACCCTTTCAGGAAATAGCAGGTAAGGACCAGGGGTGGGCGGGATGGGAAGGAGGGGGAGGATGTGGCGAGGAAATGTGTCTACATGTGGTTACAGCATCCCACCAGCTTCTCCTTCTTCTTTCCCTTCTGGATTAGTTGAAATGTTGTTCGCTTTTGCCTGGTCTCTCCCCTTCCCCCTCCCCACCCCCCCACCCCCGGCTCCTTACCCGGGAGCAGGGGGCAGCTTTTCTCACAGCCCTGTACGCTGGGCGGCTGGGATCGGGAGCCGGGGCCATGAATTGCCTCATTGTGTGAACACAGAGAATTCGGTGTCCCCCCCCCCCGCCCCTCCGGACAGTCTGACAGGGAAGGGACACAGCATGAAGGCGCGCGCCAGAGGAGTGGCAGGGGCTGGGCGTGAGTGAGCGCTCAGCGCCCCAGCAGTGATTACACTGGTGGCCTTTGGAAACTTTACTTCGAGTTGCTGCTGGGTCATTAAAGCCAGAGAGCCGTCTTGGTGGTGGGTCCTGCCTCCACTGCCCGTTCCTGCGGGGAGACAAGCAGTGCCCCTTTGCCAGTTGGGGCAGCGAGGGGATGGGGTTCTCCCCACTGCCACCGGCGGGCTCCTCCGCCTGCAGTTGAGATCACTGTCTGGTTCCCGAGGGGATCTGCACATACATTTGGGTTTTTACGTGAGGCAGAATTTACAAACACAGCGAAAGCGAGTCTTCTCCTGATAAACATGACTCCGGTTAGTCAAGTCTCAGCACAGACTCCCACGAGCACTGAACTCATCACCAACCACCAGATTCCTCCACTCCCACCCAAGGAAACGGGGGGCGAGGGGGGGGGGGAACCTGGGCAGCAGCAGCTGCTGGGGAGATTTTCCCTGCTGCTCTGAAACATTGTTACAACAGGTTCATTTCAACCCTTCTTTCTAGCAGGGATTTTTTTTTTTCAATTTATTGGCCAGCTTTTAGCTCCAACCATATGCTCATTGTATCTCTGGGACTGACTGAATAAAAATGTGTCCAGGAAAGAGAATCCTTTGGCAATCAGATAGTAGAGTAAAGGAGATGCAGGGGGATGACTCGGAAATGCACGGGCTTGGGCTGCTCAAGCCCTCCGGAGAGAAATCCGCTCTGCAAACTCCTAACACTTTGCTGCTTGATTCTCCTGTTTGCGCCGCGAATTGGGCACTCCGTTGGTTTGTTTTCTTGCTTTTTTTTTTTTTTTTTTAAAGTTGGAAGCAGCGATTTTTTCTCTCTTTGGATTAAATAATGCCAGTGCTGCTTACTGTTTATTATCTGGCTCTGTATCATCACAGTGTGGTGCAAACATCTAAAGACTTCAAACATGCCAATCTATAGAACAGGAATGTTGTTCCACAATATGAATACATAATGGTCCTCCAGATAGATCCCCGGGTGTAAATGAGCATAGCTGCACTGAGTTCCCTGGAGCCCTAAATAAGTGGCACACCAGCTGAGGATCTGGCCCATTGACAAATATTGGACAAGGACAGGAGAGTGAGGGGCCTGTGCTTGTGGCAACTTAGAGACCTCTCTTCCTTCAGCTCAAGCTCTTGCTCACTTCCTCTATTTTCTGTGCCCTTTTTGGAATTCTTCTCGAATTGCTAATCAATTATATGAGAGCTCTTCTGTGAGCCACATGCCCTCCCAGTTTCTCAGTCATGCTTTCCCTTCACTTATGGTAATTTTCTTCTCTCAGACTGACAGTGACAGGTCAGTTTATGCCCTGTCCTGTTTTAAAAATCCTAGTGAATTTCAAACTTTTAATGGCTTTGAGTAGATAGTTCTTGTTTTCAGCTCACCCAGAAGTGTTAGTTTCTTCTCCACTCTTGATTTTTTATTTTTTTATTCAATTAAGAATGGCCATGCACTGTTTAAAATATCTTCCTTAAATGTCAATTGTGCTTACAGGTTTCTATTAATAAGTATTGAGACCTAATGATTGGTTGCTAGTTAAATATTCACATTAATCATAGTTAAAGCAAAGATTTCTCTTATCATCTCCTCTTTTATCCTTGTGGAATAGGAAATTGATGCAGCTGTATATGTTATTTTTCCTAAGCATCCTAACTTTAAAATGCAGTTGGTTTTCCTTAATGTTTAACTACTTTGAATCTGGGTGAGATGATACTTTTAAGTAGCTTACTTGTAGACTGTGGTATACTTGATTGTTGGGGAGACTGTGTTTATATTGTGTTTAGGTAATGTGTTTAGCAGTATGCTGTTTTGCACAGGCTGCTGAGTGCTTTTGTAATAATTGCTTGGGAAGGCTATCCTGTTCTTAAATGGAATTCTGTCTATTTGTCACTTGATCCAATTATTATAAGCATTTAATTAGAACAGCCAACATAAGGATTTGATGGTGCTGGGTTTGCTTGTTTGATTTATTTTCCTTCCTGGTCCTTTTCTGACTTACATGAACTATAATTGCTGGTTAGTGAAACAATCTATTGCAGCATTAGTGTGTCAAGGTGCATCAGACTTCATACATTTGAGTAACTGCTTTATTTTCAAAGGAATTTGATGTTGATCATTTGATAGTATGATTGAAAAGTAAATGATGCACAGTTTGATTTGTGGTTTTGGAGTTTAATATAGTTACACTTTTACTTTTGTTTTTTAAGAAGCTACCTTTTCTACATGAGACTATTTGAACACATGTATTAATACAAGGTGTTGAAAAAATATGCTAAGCTTGCGTAAATCAGATAGGTACCAGACATGGAGGAACCCAAGTTAAAATCACTTGTAAAACAAAATTTGTTGAATACCAGCACACCTTATATACATAAATTAATATTAATACACCATTGTTATTGGGATTTGCTTGTTGTAGTAAACCTGCCTCCCCACAAAAAGCGAAGACTTTTTAGATAAGTTCTGTTCACACTAGTACTTCTCTTATTACTTTTAATAGTTTTGGGGGGAAATATGTTTTTTTCATAATATTTCTAGTGTTACATATGTTTGCACTGTAAGACTGTTTCTGTACAGTATTTTGATACAAATGAAATATGTGTTAAAGTTAATGATAATGTGATTATAATGAACATATTTATTTGCAATTGTCTTGTAGGCTCCTATGTTAGTGCTAAAGTGTTCAGTGTGACTTGTGTAGTACCTATCAAATATAGTGACTAAACCTACAACCCTAAATATCGTGGCTTTTTGGGGATGTTGCTCATTGAATTCCAGTGCTGCAAACTACTTTGGACTATTGCACACACAGGTATTTTCCAGCACTTAGGACCAAATACTGGTCTTGCCGGCAAATCCCCAGTAGAAGAGCTTTGCCTGGGAGTGTCTTGGTGGAAGAATCCTCACCCATGTGTTATCACAGAAAACAATATTGCAATACACATAATATTGATACAGATTTTCTTGCAGACATTGACATCCCTGGCACAGGTGACAGTAGTTTCAGGATCTACTCAAGGATACCAGAGTAAAACCTGTCCTCTTGTAAAACTGCTAGTGAATGAATTCCATCTCTCATAGATGCGATGAGGACACAGAGTGTCACAAAATAACCTTTGTATAAAAATACTGAAAGGATAATGAATCTGTCTATTTAAATGATGGTGTTACGAATACAATATAATTGTTGTATGTACCAAGTACACTTCTTCAGGCTTGTTGTGGAAGATGGTGTTATTCTGTGTGTGTGTAAGAATATCAGAATCTGACCCTTTAAGATATTTATATGAAAGTGAAATGTCATAGTAAAAAAATCTGTCAACAATACTTGTTAAATTCAAACCATGATTTCAATAACTTTAAGCATCTGACTTAAGGCAATGAAAACTGAAAGTTCAAAGTTAAAGTTGGAACATGTCCTTAGCTCACACTGTTTAGAATAAAATGCTCCACAATTTAAAAGCCAAGGCAGTGTCTGAAATATGCTTTTTCTATTTAAATGAGATCCTTCGTCTTATTTAAACCTCTTTGTTCAGTTCTCTTGTTTACTTAAAAAATGAAGTATTTTATAGTAACATTTGAACTATAGATTGTTTACCAAAGAGATCAGGATGTCTGTTTTGGAGTAAATCTTGAATAACTGAGTAATTACAGTGTTCCTGGGAAAAAATATTGACAGATTTAGAGTTTTAAAGATTACTTCAAAAGTCAGTAAATCTGTTCTCCTGTGGAAACAAAGAGCAGGATAAGATTCAGTCAACCAAGAGGCGCTACAGTGAAATTAGTGAGAGCAGAATCAAGCCCTTTATTTTGAAGGTCAGGAGTCTCCTAAAGTTAACTTTGACAAAGTGTCTTTACAATGGCAAGATAGGGAGCACTGGATTAAAGAAAAAAAAAGCCCCTTCACCACCCAAAACAAAACAAACAAGTCCTGCTTCTTGTATGCCCTAAAACAATAATTAAAACTACTGCATAATCATTCATGTAATTGAGATATTAATTTGTGTCAGAAGCACCCAAGACATTTTTTCTTAGTGTTTCCCCCTCCTTACTTATTGTTAGAATGCAATGACTGGTTGCCAGAAGACCATTGGGAAAGCCTGGTGGTCAAACTAGTGTCAAGCAGCTTGTTATTTAGTTATAAGTTCTACTGCCATCTCCATTGAAGTGAATGGGAACTCTGTGAGCAGAGTGGCTGTATAACTGGACACAATGAGAGACTGAAAAAGGCTAAGGACCTGCTTCAGATCTCTGAACAGTACACTTCAGAAGTAATGACTGAAATCAGTGCAGTTACACTGTTGTAATTTTATGAAATCAATATTGGGCCCTTAGAGATTAATGTATCCTTGAACTGTGCTCAGTGCAAAGACTGAAGTGGGGATGGGATTTTATGTGATCTTTGCACTGCCCCTGTGCTAGGGCTGCCATTGCCTGGTTTAGCCCTGGTTCTGCCCTAACTTGTGTCTGATCCCTATGAGCCATGCCAATAGCCAGGACATAAAATAATTCTGTGGTCACACCTTCCTACTTTGGTAGTGCCCCAGCTGATTACCTGCTCTGGGGGCTTTTTTGCGGGCCGGCAGTGCCT